AAACACTGACCCATAATTGAAAATCCTGTACTGGGCCTAAATCTATAACTATAGGTGACTCCTTTCCATATAGTTTGGTGAAGTGTCCTCCCACATATGCAAAGGGGAGGAACAGCGTATAATCCACAATACTTGGTGAAGAATGTGGGCAGCCTACCAACCCTTACACTAAATGGTCCTGTGCACACCACACTAAAACTGTGCCTAGCTGAAGTTATGGAGTTTTTGAACAAGCAGGCCACCCGCCAGGGGAGATGTGAAGCCCCACTTTCCCCATTGACCATACAGTTTTTTGAGATAAATCTTCTTGGAGACACTAAAGCATTTTTTTTATCTTTCAAGACTGAGATAGCAGTGGGTGAGGAGAGGGCTGTATCAGTCAGCCACCAACTTGATCCCCCACCTTCTTGGAGCATATGCTAAGGTCTATGCATGGCTCCCAATTGCAGTGAAACATAAGCCCGTGTATCACCGGGCTCGTGTGAGGCCTAGAAAGCATTGTGAAGACTTTGTTAATATAAAGCAAAGTGAAGCTGTGAGCAAGAGGCTGTTCCCCACTCATAAAAGTTGGCAAGAACAGGGCTGGTATTATACAAATACTGAGACGCACCAGAACCAGGCTATGAACACATTCCAGAAGGGTCATAACAGAGCATCTCTTAAGACACACATTGTAGCACTCCTCTCCCCCCTCAGGCATAGAAAACAGGACACAACTGATGGCATGATAGACACGGATCGAACGCCCATGTACAAGGTAATAGGCAGACGTAGGTAATGGCAGAGAATGCCAACTCAGTACACGAGGAGTGATACTAACTCATTGGTGCCTTTGTATGAAAGTGTACCCTGAAGAGTTGTTTTTCTCAAGCCAAGGAGGAAATGTCACATTCCTGGCCCTGACTGAACTGAGTCCATTTTCAGGGGTAAATATATGTAATACAATTGAATCCACTTCCAATTATTATTATTATTATTTTTTTTGCTAATAAATCTGGTGGGGCATCTTTAATCCATGTGTAGTTTTGTGGTCATTGGGGGTCTCTCAGGGTCTGCTCTGAGACACATACCTACAGACAAATGGCTATAATCATTGACGCAGCAGGAGACGTGTCGGGAGAATACACTAGAGAATCCTGATTACTATACCAATCGCCAAGGCATGAGATTACAATTTACAGAGGCAGAAAGGCAGACATTTTACATACATAAGATACCAGGCTGGAAAACTTCTGCCAGCAATTTTGGGTTAATAGCTACCTACTCAGAGAAATGCTTCAGGTCACAACCCTGGAGATCAAACTCTTCTTTTGACAACAGCCCAAGCAATACAATGACTACAAGCCTGCTGAAGAAACTTCTTCAGAGCAGTTCATCCATCTTTCCCCATCCTGGGAGAGAGCTTGGGTATTACAGCAACAACCAATCCTGCTTAGTGACCATCTCCTTGATGAAAGGTTTTTTGACTGCTGACATGCTATAAGGCCAGGAGTCCAAATCCCTGCTTCCACATCTGGTTTGATGATCCCATCCAGGTGATGAAGACTAGTCCCAGGGCCGAAAGATGCTCTGTGGTATATATTCCGGACACTGAGTCCACTTACAGCCATTGGCAGCCTGAGTCCACCTGACACAGATATTCTGGTGGCTCTGACAGGGACAAGAGTCACTTGACGCTTTGTCACTCTTCTCCTTATAGGAGTGTCCAATTTTTACCTTGGCCAGGAAGACGACCCCTCCCTCCCCTGGGGGTTCACAGATACAAGCCCTCAGAATTTCACAGTGGCCCCACGTGAGCTGAAAGGGAATCCCCACCCTCACGTGGATTGGAACCCCCCAACTCAGGAAGCCAGGACTCCACTGGTTGTCCCCTGCTGTCCTAGGCACACCAGGAAGCTCTCCAAGAACATTCCACCAGCTGGCTACTTAGGGCAATAGAAGACACCGACTCAAATCTCACTTCTTCTGGCTGGGAGTCCATTGTGAGGTGAGAGATGATAGTAGTTCCTGCCCTAAGAACCAATTAGCTGCTCCACCGGGTGTGTCAGAATCTCCTGAGGTCCCCTTGTCTGGAGTGGGAATCTCCATTGAGAGGGTTATACTGGATCTGGAGGGACCTCCTCCCAAGAAGCAATGCTGCGTTTTACTGTATACTCATCCTGATGTACTATCCTAGCCAATGCCCCAAGGTTGGCCACTATGGAAGACTGATGCCCGCACCAGTGCCCTGGAGCTGATAAAGCCATATGCAACAGTTTAGCTGCCCTAGGAGAGCCTCACTAATCATGAGGTCGACTTTACTCCCCAGCTGCTCTTCCAGATGTGCACAACGAGAGTCCTCAGCGCACCGACCCCAGGTCAATGATCACGTTGAGGGTCCTTTATGTTCTGCAGTTTCAGGGATTCCTGGTTCAGGCTAGTGTCACTGGAAATGAAAATCTGTACGGGTATGTCTACACTACCCCGCTAGTTCGAACTAGCGGGGTAATGTATGCATACCGCACTTGCTAATGAAGCCCGGGGAATTCAAATCCCCGGCTTCATTAGCAAGTGCGGTATGCATACATTACCCCGCTAGTTCGAACTAGCGGGGTAATGTATGCATACCGCACTTGCTAATGAAGCCCGGGATTTGAATTTCCCGGGCTTCATTAGCATAAGCGGGGAGCCGCCATTTTTAAATCCCCGCTGCTTCGAACCCTGTGCAGCGCGGCTACACGGGGCTCGAACTAGGTAGTTCGGACTAGGTTCCTATTCCGAACTACCATTACTCCTCGTGAAACGAGGTGTACCGGTAGTTCGGAATAGGCACCCTAGTCCGAACTACCTAGTTCGAGCCCCGTGTAGCCGCGCTGCACAGGGTTCGAAGCAGCGGGGATTTAAAAATGGCGGCTCCCCGCTTATGCTAATGAAGCCCGGGGAATTCAAATCCCCGGCTTCATTAGCAAGTGCGGTATGCATACATTACCCCGCTAGTTCGAACTAGCGGGGTAGTGTAGACATACCCTACGTGACCAAAGTATTTCAGGAGTGAGATTATAGTCATGGGACCAGGGACTACACCTTTGGATCCAGGGAATCTGCTGAGTGGGAGCGCTCATACAGGAGGCTGATGAGCCAGACTGAACACAAGGAGCAGACCTACCATGTCAATCTCTTGAAGTTTTAGTGTGCACATGAGAGGCTTTTGAGTACTGTGTCTGTCCCCTGCCAGGCCTATCTCCATGTTCCTAATGTGCTTGAAATTGACGAGACCCAAGCAAAGTGATTAAATATAATGTTATTAGTAACAAGGGCCAGAAGACATTTTCCCAAGAGGTCTATAAGAACTCAGTTGTTAAAATTATAGAACTACAAGCTGTGGTGTGTAACTTGCCCTAAAAATCAACTTCTCTATCAAATTACTAGAGGATAGCTAATGTGATGCCAATTTTTATAAAGGGCTGTAGAGGTCAGCCTGGCATTTACAGGCCAGTAAGTGACAAGGAATCCTGTGTCACCTTATAGACTAACAGATGTATTGGAGCATAAGCTTTCGTGGGCAAAGATGAAAGCTTATGCTTCAATACATCTGTTTGCCCACAAAAGCTTACACTCTATGAGGTGCCACAGGATTCCTTGTCGCTTTTGCAGATCCAGACTAACACGGATACCCCTCTGATACTTAAGCCAGTAAGTGTAACTTGAAAGTGGGCACACTCCTAGAAACTATTACAAAGGACTGAATTGTCAGACACATAGCTGCACCTAATTTGATAGGGGAAAACTCAACATTGGTTTTATAAAGTAAAATAATCTATGAACAATGTACTAATGTTGTGGGGGCATCAACAAACCCATGAACAAGGGTATCCAGTAGATATAGTCGACTTAGATTTCTACACAGCCTTTGACAAAGTCCCTCGCCAAAGGTTCTTAAGCAAAGTAAGTTGTCATGAGATAAGAGGGAAGGCCCTCTCATGGGTTGGTAAGTGGTTAAAAGACAGGAAACAAAGGTTAGGAATAAATGGTCAGTTTTTAGAATGGAATGACTGTCCTTCCCTGGTTTGTACTTTGACCGGTCAGGTCAACATATTCATCAATGATTTGGAGAATGGGCTAAACAGTGAGGTGGCAAAATTTTAAGATGACACTAAATTGCTAAGATAAAGCAGACTGTGAAGAGCCTCAAAAGGAGCTCTCCAATTAGGTGACTCAGCAACAAAATGGCAAATATTCGGTAGTGTTAAGAAATGCAAAGTAATGCCCACTGGGAAACATAATTCCAGCTATATGCACATAATGATGGGAACTAAATTAGCTGTTACAAGTGAAGAGCGAGATCTTGGAGTATTATGGAAAGTCAAAAAGCAAACCAAAAGGAGCCATCCTTTGTCCTTTCTGAACAGTGAACAAGATGCACCAACGCCACAACCTCTGCTATGCCACACAACGCGCTTGTTTGCAAAGCTGGCCCCATTGCAGTGTCATTAGGAGACAAATCGCGCTGCCTCCTTCTGCATTGCTGCCAGGCCTGCCGAGCCCAGAGCCGCATCCTCACTGCAGGCTCCTTGTCAGTCTGTGGCAGCTCCTGTCCCAATCCTGGGGGTGGAGGGAGCGTGGACAGTGAGGACGTGGGTGAGGATGGTCCAGCGCGGGATGGAAGAAGGGGAGGAGAGGGGCAAGTGAGAGAGCTGGGGCTTTGAGGAAAGTATCAGAACAGAGGGATGCAATGGAGAAGGGTGGGGACCCATGGGGAAAAAGGGGTGTAGGGGCTGGCGTGTGAGGGAAGAGGCAGGGAGGACCCAGGGCCTCAGGGATAGTTACTGGAAATTAAATCTTAGAAAACCTCAGTTTTAAGGAGTTCTGCCCAGACCAGTTCACCTGCTTGGCTCACAGTAAGATCAGGGCAGGATTTAACGACTCTCTGATGGGCCAGCCAGTGATTCAGGGAAAAGTGGCCAGCACCAAGTCACCAGCCAGCTCTGCACAGACCTCGGTCTGTGAGCTAGCAGAAAACCTCAAGGGCCTTTATTAATAAACAGCTGCAGCAGTCTGTCCCGGAGCTGTTTGGTCATCACCCCATAGATGATGGGATTTAGCATGGGGGGCATCTGGTAGTACATGTTGTTAATGAGAACATGGAAAGGGTGAAGCTTTGTTTTATCAAATCGGGTCACGAGAGAGAAGAAATCTGGGATGTAACATACTAAAATGGAGCAGAGGTGGGAGATGCAGGTCCCAAAAGTCTTGACTCGGGAGTCCTTTGTGGGGAGGCTGAAGCTGGCCCTGAGGATCTGGATATAGGACACAACAATGAAAATCATATCCAGTCCATTAACACAGAATTGCACAAAGAGGCTGTAGTAACTACTGGCACTGAAATCACTACGGGCCAACCTCACCACGGCCATGTGCGCACAGTAAGGCAGGGGGACCATATTTGATCGGCAATATGACCACTGCTTTGCCAGGAGGACACAGGGAGTTATCATGATCCCACTGTGCAGCACCATGGCCAGGCAGACCTTGCTCACCACCAGGTTTATCAGGATGGTGGAATGTCTCAGGGGATGGCAGATGGCCATGTAGCGATCTAACGGCATGGCCACAAAGATCCCAGACTCCATCGTGGTGAAGCAGTGAAAGAAATAGAGCTGAGTGAGGCAGGCACTGAAATCGATCTCCCTGGAATTGAACCAGAAGATGCTCAGTGTTTTCGGCAGGGTGAGTGTGGATAGGATCTGGTTGGTGATGGCCAGCATGCAAATGAAATAGTACATGGGCACATGAAGATTCAGCTCCGTCTTCACGATGAATAGGATGGTGAAGTTCCCCAAGAGGACTATGATGTACATGATGTAGAAGGGGATGGAGAATGCCCAGTAGGATGAAGACGGAGGGGGTGGTGACATGGGTTGTGTTGGAATCTGCCATGGAGTAAAGTAGAATGGGTCCAACTCCAAGGTAGAGGAATGCCTCCTGTATCTACTGTATGTTCTCCTGATCTCCTGGTGCTCTGGGTCTAGGAAGGTTATCACAGGACAAATGCCTGGAAGAGAGACCATGTTCATATCACACAAACCATGTACTATTGGTAGTTGGTGTCCTGTTTGAGACTGATTGGTCTGTTCACACACTGAAATGTGATATTATCCTTATTTGGATAAATGAACAGCTGGCCTTTCTAATGTGAATTCCATACTTTGTGGTGCTCCATGCATAAAGAACGTGTCATGGTCTGAGAAACTGTAACAAGCATTGGAAAAAAATTATTTGGGGCCCTTCTTACACATCTCTGCTCCTCGATGCACTGAAAGGCAGGCTAGTGATTCTGTGCTGCCGGGGGTACCACATTCACCTGGTTGCTCACAATTTGAGAGTTGGAAAAAAACCCAAACCTTTGCCAAGATCTGTGCCGGAGGGAATCACCCCAGTTAGTACAGCCAGTCAGAACACCCCAGTTAGAACAGTTAGTCTATAAGGTGACACAGGATTCCTTGTCACTTATTGGCCTGTAAATGCCAGGCTGACCTCTATAGCCCTTTATAAAAATTGGCATCACATTAGCTATCCTCTAGTAATTTGATAGAGAAGTTGATTTAAAGGGCAGCTTACTAACCACAGCTTGTAGTTCTATAATTTTAACAACTGAGTTCTTATAGACCTCTTGGGAAAATGTCTTCTGGCCCTTGTTACTAATAACATTATATTTAATCACTTTGCTTGGGTCTCGTCAATTTCAAGCACATTAGGAACATGGAGATAGGCCTGGCAGGGGACAGACACAGTACTCAAAAGCCTCTCATGTGCACACGGTGTCTTCTATTGCCCTAAGTAGCCAGCTGGTGGAATGTTCTTGGAGAGCTTCCTGGTGTGCCTAGGACAGCAGGGGAGAACCAGTGGAGTCCTGGCTTCCTGAGTTGGGGGGTTACAATCCATGTGAGGGTGGGGATCCCCTGTCAGCTCATGTGGAGCCACTGTGAAATTCTGAGGGCTTGGTCTGTGAACCCCCAGGGGAGGGAGGGGTCGTCTTCCTGGCTAAGGTAAAGATTGGACACTCCTATAAGGAGAAGAGTGACAAAGCGTCAAGTGACTCTTGACCCTGTCAGAGCTACCAGACTATCTGTGCCAGGTGGGCTCAGTCTGCCAATGGGCATAAGTGGTCTCAATGTCCTGATTTCATACTACGGGACTAGGCTTCATCACCTGCCTGGGAGCATCAAAACCAGGTGTGGAGGCTGGGACTTGGGCAGTCAAAAAACCCTTCATGAAGGAGATGGTCACTAAGCAGGATTGGTTGTTGCTGGAATGGGGGAAGATGGACAAACTGCTCTGAAGACATTTGTTCAGCAGCCTTGCAGTCATTGTATTGCTTGGGATGTGACTGTTGCCAGAAGAGGAATTTGACCTGAAGCACTTCCCTGGGTAGGTAGCTTTTAGCCCAAAATCGCTGGCAGAGGTTTTCCAGTCTGGTGTCTACGGTATAATGCCTTTCAGCCCCTGTAATCTCATGCCTTTACAATTGGTGTAGAAATCAGGATTGGCTGGTGTAGCGTCCCGACAAGTCTCCTGCTCCATCAATGATGATAATGATTTGTGTGTGTCTGTTTCTCAGAGCAGACTCTGAGAGAGCCCCCAAAGACCACAAAACCACACATGGATTGAAGGTGCCCCGCCAGCTTTATTTGCAAAAAAAGTACAATAATAATTGGCAGTAGATTCTATTGAAGCACTATGTATATTTACCCCTTGAAAATGGACTCAATTCAGTCAGGGCCAGGAATGTGACATTTCCCCCTTGGGTTGACAAAAACAACACTTGGGGGTACGCTTTTATACACAGGCACCAACAAGTTACAAACTCTCCCGGGCTGCGTCTAGACTGGCAAGTTTTTCCGTAAAAGCAGCCGCTTTTGCGGAAAAACTTGCCAGTTGTCTACACTGGCTGCTTGAATTTGTGCAAGAACACTGACCATCTGATGTAAGATTGTCAGTGTTCTTGTGCAAATATTATGCTGCTTCCGCCCGGGAAAATGCCTTATCGCGCAAATGCTTTTGCGCAAGAGGGCCAATGTAGACAGCTAAAAACTCTTTTTCGCAGAAAAGCCCTGATGGCAAAAATGGCGATCGGGGCTTTGTTGGGCAAAAGCGTGCCTAGATTGGCACAGACGCTTTTCCGCAAAAAGTGCTTTTGCAGAAAAGCGTCCTTGCCAATCTAGATGCTCTTTTCCCAATTGCTTTTAACAGAAAAGATTTTCCATTAAAAGCATTTGCGGAAAATCATGCCAGTCTAGACATAGCCCTGATGTACTGAGTTGGCAACCTCTGCCATTACCTTGTACCTGGGGGTTCGTTCAGTATCTATCATGACATCAGTTGGGTCTGTTTGTTCCTGTTTTGTGTGTCTGTGGGAACAGGAGAGTCGTACAATGTGTTTCTTAACCAAGGGTTCTGTTACGACCCTTTTGGAATGTGTTCACACCCTGGGCCTATTTCCTTTTAGGTCTGAGCATTTCTATAATACCAGCAATGTTCTTGCCAACTTTTGTGAGTGAGAGACAGCTTCTTCCTCACAGCTTCACTTTGCTTTATATTTACAAAGTCTTGACAATTGCTATATAGGCCCCAGGTCTCATATCAGCTTTGTGGTACATGGTGTGACGAACCAGGCCGGGTCTGGGCACTGCTGAGGGCATCTGCTCAGGGTGAATTGCTTACATTTGGGGCTTTCTATACCTCCTGACAGGTGGCCCATCTCAAATAGACCACAAACCAATCGCACAGATCACTTCTGCTGCCTGCCTGGCCAGCCAGAAGCCTCACGAGCAAAACCCCTCTGACACTCTAGCTCTCTCCGTGCCCCAAACAGCCCCCAGCCTAACACACAGGTGACGGCTTTTAGAACCCAGTCTCGCCTACCCCAAACAGGTTCTGTCCGGTCCCAAGAAACCAGTCCCGATCACTTTATACTCTGGATCTTACGCACAAACCACACCAAGCCCATCCTTTAGAATCTAAAATCTAAAGGTTTATTACTAAAAGGAAGAAAAGCATGAGAGTGAGGTTGTTCAAGTATCATACATTGCATGCATCGAATCTCCCAGTTCTCGATGCAAGCTCTCAGCAGAGATGTTCTAACTGCTGGCTTAAAAGTCTATGGTGAACATCCTATGTCAGGATGGGTCCACAGTTCTTTCTGGTGCCTCTGGGATGAAGAGCTGAGCTGACCACCAAGATGGAGTTGGCCACGCAGCCTATTTATATCCCTCCCTGGTTTCTTCCAAGCTGGAGGGAGTCACATGATGTCAGGCCAGGCATCTAGGTTGTTTCTCAGGTGGGTCTGTTATACTTAAAAGACCTATTCTTCCAAGGAGCCTTGCTCATTAGCATAGCCATTGAACAAACATCCCTGGCCCATTGTTCTGCTTCAGACAGAGAATCTTTCAGCATCAACACAGATTGTATGTTTATAAGTTCACACACAGACAGTATACAAGCGTATGAAGAGCATATACAGAATCAATAGATAATACACTTTCATTTGACATCTCACATGACCCCCTTTTCGGGCAAACAGCCCCCCATGAGTGCAGCAGTGATCTGGCTACTCTCCTTAAAATCCAGTAACATAACACATGGGCTTATATTTCAGGCCCTCATCTTACTACAATTGGGAGCCATGAATAGACCATATCATATGCTCCAAGAAGGTGGGGGATCAAGAGGATGGCTGACTGATTCAGCCCTCTCCCGACCCACTGTTCTCTCAGTCTTGAATAATAAAAAAAAATGCTTTACTGTCTGCAAGAACATTTATCTCAAAAAGCTGTATGGTCAATGGGGAAAGTGAGGCTTCACATCACCCCTGGGGGCAGGCCTGCTTGGTCCAAAGCTCCATATCTCCGACTAGGCACAGTTTTAGTGCGGAGTGCACAGGACCATTTAGTGTAAGGGTTAGTAGGCTGCCCACATTCTTCACCAAGTATTGTGGATTATATGCTGTTCCTCCCCTCTACATATGTGGGAGGCCACTCCACCTCCGTGTAAGGAAAGGAGTCACCTATAATTATAAATTTAGTCCCAGTGCATGGTTTTCAATTAGGGGTCAGTGTTTGAGGAACTAGTCAGGAGTCAGGGATACAGTTACAAGAAATTGGACACTTGGACATCCTAAGTGTTTAACGATTTCCACCCAGCCCAATTCCCCATTTCTTCTCACTGGCAGAGCACAGTAAAATCAGGACAGGATTGAATGACTCTGTGGCTGAGCCATTTGGTGAAGAGGGCCAAGCACCATCTCCCCAGCCAGCACAAGCCATGGTCTGTGAGCCAGAGCACTTAGCTGCCTTTGTGAACAAAGCAATGAAGCATCCGACCCCAGATCTGTTTAGTCATCACACCATAGATGATGGGGTTTAGCATCGGGGGCATTATGTAGTACATGATGGCAATAAGAACTTGAACAGGGTGAGGCTTCTTCTTGTCAAATCGTCCCGAGAAGGAGAAGTAGAGACCTGGGATGTGAAACACTAAAATGGAACAGAGGTGGGAGATGCAGGTCTTGAATGTTTTGAGCCGGGCGTCCTTTGTGGGGAGTCTGAAGATTGCCCTGAGGATGTGAATATAGGACACAACAATAAAAAACACATCCAGACCACTCAGAGAGAATACCACAAAGAGGCCGTAATAACTACTGGCTCGGGTGTCACTACATGCCAGCCCCACCACCGGCATGTGCACGCAATATGGCTGGGGGACCATGTTAGTTCCACAGTATGACCACTGTCTCGCTAGGAGGACAAATGGAAGTATGATCATGATCCCACGCAGCACCACGGCCAGGACAAGTTTGGTCACCGTGGCACTTGTCAAGATGGCGCAATGTCACAGGGGATGGCAGATAAGTATGATCATGATCCCACGCAGCACCACGGCCAGGACAAGTTTGGTCACCGTGGCACTTTTCAAGATGGTGCAATGTCTCAGGGGATGGCAGATGGCCACATAACGATCCAAAGCCATGGCCACGAGGATTCCAGACTCTATCGCTATGAAGCAGTGAATGAAGTACAGCTGAGTGAGGCAGATGCATTCCTGTTTTACGCTAACATTTTTGGCAGAGCTTTTATGTCAACGATACTGAGCATGTTTAACTACATAGCAGGTTTTCTACAGTTACTTTACAACTCATGAAAATAATTACCTATTAGAAGGACATAATTTCCAAACATGGGACGTTTTCCTACTTTTCTCTGAATTCTTTGTATAAAAATAAAGCTTCAAAAATATAAACAGGTTTTAGTCTTCATTTTCCCGTAATATATTAATGTCAGGAATGCACAGGATGGTGAAGTTCCCCAACAGGGTTATAATGTACATGGTGTAGAAGGGGATGGAGATCCAGACATGAGCTATCTCCAGGCCAGGGATGCCCAGCAGGATGAAGGTGGAGGGGTTGGTGAAGTCACTTGTGTTAGAATCTGACATGGCGTAGAAGAGAATGGGTTGAACTGTGAGGTAAAGCAATGCCTCCTCTGTGTAGTGTATGTATTCCTGATTTCCTATTGTTCTTGTTCTTGGGTGGTGGTTGTAGGAAAAGTCCTGGAAAGAGAGGCAAAGTTCATATCAGACAACAAAGGCATGACTGGTAGATGCTTGATGGTTTGATCCGATTGGTCTCCTCACACACTGAAATGTAACATTTCCATTGTTCGGGTCAATGATTGATGAACAGCTGGATTTTAATATTTGATGGAGCCCTGTGCTCAATAACGGTGCATGACCTGGCACCAGCTGGAAAAAGTGTGTTGGGGCCCTTGTTATCCATGTATATTTCTTAGAGCATGGGAAGTCAGGCTAGAGATCCTGTGCTGTAGAGGGCCCCACATTCGCCTGGTTACTCCAAATAACCACAAACCTTTTCCAAGACCTGTGCCAGAAGGAATCACCCCAGTTATAACAGACAGTGAAAAGCCATGGGGGTCATAGCCAGTGGGGGCACGTTTACTCTTGCTCCCTATCTCGAGATGGGGATGCAAATGTAGAGTACCATTATTGCTAACTAAGTGGTGATTTGAATATCCTGCACTTCATTAGCATTATCTCGCTGGCGCACTAGTTCGAAATGCAGCTGTTTGGAAGCAGGAAGTACGCTCTGTGCCATGTTAATAGGAACCAAAGCCATTCGTTTGAACTAATGTAACTCCTCAAAAAATGAAATGGCTTTGTTTCAAACTAGCACTCCGGCGAGATCATGCTAATGAATTACAGGATATTTAATTCACTGCTTAATTTGCTTCTCTATCTTGAGATAGGGAGCATGTGTAGATTTACCCTAAGCGCATAGAAATTCTTCTTGGTCAAAGCAATGGCTAAAGCCAGGCCGATCTTGAGATGCTTGGGACATGTGCTCAGTTTTCATCCCCCAGCCTCTGGAAAGGACACGGCTGATGTAAAGGGTCGCTGAGAGGATGGGGTAGTGCCTGCCCTCTGTGGACAGATTGAATATCAGGGAAAGTTTAGTTTAGGGAGGAGACAAAGAAGTGGAATACGCTAAAGAAGAGGATAATAAATAATGATTGCACTAACCTGGAAAAAAGAGGGAAACTTCCTAGCTTCTTATATCTAGGTATATGAAGTCCCTCAACAGATTTTTCCATTGTTGATGGTTATTATCAACTGAAATGATTGGGAGAAAAAAATGTAGAAAAAAAACCAGGAAGGATAATTGCAATTGCTTTAAGAGTCCATGAGATAGTTAAAAGTCACAATGCTACAGTCATTGCTGGTGAAAAACTTTTGGTCTAAACCCAGCTGAATGAAAAATGGAAGGAACTGGACAGTGTTCATGTGGAGACAGCTGAGGTAGCTGTCCCAGTACATGGTACTGCTGACACACCACTGGTGGAGGAGGAGATGGCTCAGGGTGGACACTGGCAGCTGGTTACTTCTGGCACCAGGCAGTGCTCCACCCCGATCTGAACCCTCCTGCTGTTGAACTAGGAAACCATTATGCTCTTTGTGATACAGGAGATAAGGAATCACATCCTAAAAGAGAGGAGTAGAAGCCTCGTACCCCAGGGCTCGGAGGTCTCCTGCCAGCACTGCGAATAGAAAATATAGGGCAAAAACTCTCTTCTTATGAGGACAGAGGCACTCATCTGTCACCCTGACATGTCATCACATAAGGTACAGCCTGCTGGGGTCCATATCTGAAATGTTACAGAAGCATTGTCGAGGATTAGCCGGCCCGCTGACTACTGCCACATGTTACTCATCCATGTGGGCACTAATGATACTGCGAGGTGTGATGCTGAGCGGATCACGAGTGACTACAGGCTCTGGGAGTGTGGGTGAGCAATTTTAAAGCCCAGGTGGTATTCTCGTGGATCCTTCTTGTCAAAGGAAGGGGCCCAGGCAGAGACAGGTGCATCCTGGAGGTGAATGCCTGGCTGCAAAAATGGTGTCACCAGGAGGGCTTTGGCTTCCTCAACCACCGGATGCTATTCCAGGAAGCACGGCTAAGCAGGGATGGCTTTCACCTTTCGAGGAAGGGGAAGAGTGTATTTGGATAAAGACTGGATAACCTAGTAACGAGGGCTTTAAATGAGGTTCGACAGGGACAGGTGACCAAAGCCCATGGGTAAGAAAAGAACAAGGAGACTTGGGAGATGGGTCTGAAAAGGGGAGGAAGGTGAGCTATAATAGCAGAGAGAAAAGAGGGACGAGGTAGAACTGAGAGGCAAGGTCAAATCAGTATCTTAGATGCCTGTATACAAATGCAAGAAGTATGGGTAATAAGCAGGAAAAACTGGAAGTACTAATAAATAAATACAACTATGATATTGTTGGAATCAGAAAGACTTGGTGGGACAATATGATTGGAATATTGGTTTAGAAGGGTACAGCTTACTCAAGAAGGAAAGGCAGGGAAAAAAGGGAGGAGGTGTTGCCTTATATCTTAAAAATGTACATACTTGGACTGAGGTGGAGATGGACATAGGAGACAGACACATTGAGAGTCTCTGGGTTAGGCTAAAAAGGGTAAGAAACAAGGGTGATGGTATGTTAGGGGTCTAATACAGGTCACATAAAAAGGTGGAAGAGATGGACGAGGGTTTATTTAAACAACTAACAATATCATCCAAAGTACAGGCTTTCGTGTTGATGGGGGACTTCAACTATCCAGACATATGTTGGAAAAGTGACACAGCAGGGCATAGACTATCCAATAAGTTCTTGGACTGCACTGTAGAATTTTTTTTATTTCAGATGGTTGAAAAAGCTACTGGGGGGGGGAAGCTATTCAAGATTTGATTTAACAAATAGGGAGGAACTGGTTGAGAATGTGCAAGTGGAAGGCAGCTTGGGTGAAAGTGATCATGAAATCATAGAGTTTGTGATATTAACGTATGTTAAAAGGGAGAACAGCAAATTAGAGACAATGGATTTCAGGAAGGCAGATTCTGATAAGCGCGGAGAGCTTGTGGGTAAGGTCGCCTGGGAGGCAAGAGTGAGGGGAAAAACAATCGAAGAGAGCTGGCAATTTTTATAATAATAATATAATGGAGATTGCCTATCTCCTAAAACTGGAAGAGACCTGATGAGATCATCAAGTCCAGTCCCCTGGCTTCTCAGCAGAACCAAGTACCATCCCTGATGAATTTTTGCCCAAATGGCCTCCACAAGGATTGAACTCACAACGCTGGGTATAGCAAATCAATGCTCAAACCACTGAGCTATCCCTCTGATGAAGTCTTCAAAAGGATGTTATTGAGAGCCCAAAAGCAAGCTATTCTGCTGCTTAGGAAAGATAGAAAATATGGCAAAAGACCACTTTGAATCATCCAAGAGATCTTGCATGATCTAAAAATAAAAAAGGAGTCATAAAAAATGGGAAGTAGGACAAATTACGAAGGATGAATATAGGCAAACAACACAGGAATGCAGGGGTAAGATTGGAAATGCAAAAGCACAAAATGAGCTGAAACTAGCTACAGGCATAAAGGGACACAAGAAGACATTCTATAAATGTATTAGAAGCAAGAGGAAGATCAAGGACAGGGCAGGCCCATTGCTCAGTGAGGAGGGAGACACGGTAACAGGATACTTGGAAATGGCAGAGATGATTAATAACTTCTTTGTTTCAGTCTTCACGGAGAAGTCTGATGAAAGAATGCCTAATATATTGAATGCTAGTGGAAACGGGGTAGGTTTAGAGGATAAAATAAAAAAATAAGTTAAAAATCACCTAGAAAAGTTAAATGTCTGTAAATCACCATTCTGATGAAATTCATCCCAGAATACTCAAGGAGCTGATAGAGGAGGTATCTGAGCATTTAGCTATCATTTTTGAAAAGTCATGGAAGACAGGAAAGATTCCAGAAGGCTGGTAAAGGAAAATCTAGTGCCCATCTATAAAAAGAAAAAAAAAAACAACTCAGGAAACTACAGACCAGGCAGTTTAACTGCTGTGCCAAGAAAAATAATGGATCAAGTAATTAAGGAAATCACCTGCAAAAACTTGGAGATAATAAGGTGATAGGGAACAGCCAGCATGGATTTGTAAAGAACAAATAATGTCAAGCCAATCTGATAGCTTTCTTTGATAGTATAATGAGTCTTGTGGATAAGGCATAAAGGATCTGTCGACGAAGGTTTCTAGGGTTGGCAGATCCCCATCTAGACTGCTGTGCTGTGCCGACAATCAACTGATCGGCACAGCATGGTGGCCATTTCGATTTAAATGAAGTATTTATTATTTAAATCACCACTTAATTTCCCTTTGCCTAATCTATATAGCTCTGTCGATGGAGCCATGGAGTTTAGACACACCCATCGATGGGGCTACTATAAGGTGGGTGCATAACAGTCTGGATAACCATTCTCAGAGAGTGGTTATTAATGGTTCACAATCCTACTGGAAAGGTATAACAAGTAGGGTTCCCAAGAGTCCGTTTTGGGACACGTTCTGTTCAATATCTTCATCAACGGTTTAGATATCAAGATAGAGAATACGCTTATCAAGTTTTCAGATGAAACCAAGCTGGGAGGGGTTGCGACTGCTTTGGAAGATAGGGTCATAATTCAAAATGATCAGAACAAATTTGAGAAATGGTCTGAGGGAAACAGGATGAAGTTTAATAAGGACAAATGCAAAATTCTCCACTTAGGAAGGAACAATCAGTTTCACACATACAGAATGGGAAGCGACTATCTAGGAAGGAGTACAGCAGAAATTGATCCAGGGGTTATAGTGGACCACAAGCTAAATATGAGTCAACAGTGTGATGCATAGGATGCATTAACATGTGTGTTGTGAGCAAGATATGAGAAGTAATTCTTCTTCTCTACTCTGCGCTGGTTAGGCCTCAGTTGGAGTATTGTGTTCAGTTCTGGGCACCGTATTTCAAAAAAGATGTGGGGAAATTTGAGAAGGTCCAGAGAAGAGCAACAAAAACAATTAAAGGTCTAGAGAACATGACCTATGAAGGAAGCCTGAAGGAATTGGTCTTGTTTAGTTTGGAAGGGGAGAAGATTGAAAGGGGACATGATAGCGGTTTTCAGGTATCTAAAAGGGTGTCACAAGGTGGAGGGAGAAAAATTGTTCTTCCTGGCCTTTGATGATAGGACAGGAAGTAATGGGCTTAAACTGCAGCGAGAGAGGTTTATGTTGGACATTAGGAAAAAGTTCCTTAATGTCAGGGTGGTTAAACACTGGAATAAATTTCCCAGGAAGGTTGTGGAATCTCCATCTCTGCAGATATTTAAGAGTAGGTTAGATAAATGTCTATCAGCGATAGTCTAGACAGTACTGGGTGCAGCCATGAGGACAGGAGACTGGACTCGATGACCTCTTGAGGTCCCTTCCAGTCTTAGTAATCGTTGATTCTATGAATATATATCAAAGCGGGGAAAGGGAAAAATAGAAATAATAACTTTTGGAGGAGATGAAAATGAATGAGAGATGATATAACTATTACAGACACATAAATTAATTTTTTAGATAAGGTTCAGAAAATGGAGCTTAATACCAAGAACTGATGAAATTCTAGGAAAGGCTTGGTGAATCCCTAGAGAGAGAAAGAAAACTTGTGAATTTTGCAGAAAAGGTCGATATGTTGAAGAAATAGTTGTGTTCAGGTTTGGAATGTAGGAATACTACATCCTTGTATCAAATGAGGAGGTGAAATGCATGATAGTCTATTAGCATCCAAGGAGGTAAAAAAACCTTAGCAGTAGAACATTAAAGTTAATAACACCAGAGTTACACATTTACCAATCAATCAGACATCTCATTTTGAACCAGAAGTCGGTAATCCTGCCACAAATGAACTATATAGATACGTGAAATAAATAATGGCAAATGCAAGGCAGTTTTCTATTTAAAGTAAATTTAAAAAAATATGAATTTGACCAATGCCATGTGCCCCAGGGAGTGTAATCCAAACAGGTAACGATCAATTCATCTCTCTACTGCCATTCATCTCCACCCTCTGACAAACAGAAGCTAGGAACACCTGTCCTTATGCCCTGGCTAATAGCGATTATTGGAATTAACCTCCATGAATTTATGCTGCACTTTTTAAAACTCTGATATAGTCCGAGCCTTCACAACCTCCTATGGCAAGAAGTTCCATGGGACAGATAATCATATATATTATGATGGGTTTCTAGTGCTGGGTTTCTGCCTGCATTCTCTCTGATGAATAATAAAGTTATATATGGGGGTTTTATTTAAACTTTGGGTTATAATTTAGGATCAAGTTTAAAAGAATGTCTAAAGTAGCCAGCTTTCTCTCAGCGTCCCTTCCGTACTCCGCTCTCAGAACTCCCTCCTGTTTGCAATCGCCCTGTTTGCAAGCTCCCTAGTCTTCCTAGCCCCTTCCTTTGGCTGCAGTTCGACCAATGAGCATTGTTTTAGATTTCAAATCCTAATTTAGGCTCACAGTTTCCAATTGCCAGCCTGAGCACACGGCCTTTCAAACAGACCAACAGCGCAGCACACGAATCTCCAAACAAACTGACAAACAAACAAAAACAAGCCTAGCACCCCCAAACACACACACACACACACACTCCAGGCAGCCACTTATCCGAAGCTCCTGTAAATTGCCCCTCCTTCACCAGGACAGTGCCCCTCGCAAAACTCCCTCCTGTTGGCAATAACCCTGTTCACGAGCAACAGATTGACCATTATAGCTGCTGGGAGCATCACATTGAGTGCAGACAGTCTGGCACTGTCAATTAGAAGGTTTCATTTTAGCTGTTAATCATTTTGACAGTTGCTAAGCATTTGGACTGAAATTTTGCCCCAACGGAGGCCTGCCATGGTATGAATATTTATTGGAGAATTTCAGACATGACAGTTCAGCCCGCTCCTCTAATGCGACAGGAGAGAAGGTTTGTGACCCACATTGGAAAATCCTTCAATCTGTAACAGTGAGGAGCCCCATCACCTCCTGGCTTTCCAAGAGAGACAAGTCAGGAAACAGCCACCCTGTTAGCAACGAGAGCCCTGAGATGTGAGGGGAGGAGGTGACAGTGTCTGGGCATGAACACACCTCTAGCCCCCGAGGGCTTTGTTCAATTCTTCCTCCAAGGAGAGTTTTCCCTCCGTGGAGTCTGAGCAACCCATGGGCCACAGCCTCAGAGTTTTGCTTTGTATCGTACAGCTACTGACACCTTTCCTCCTGACGGATCCCCTGGGCCACGGAAATGCCCCAACACCAGAGATAAAGTATCAGCCGGGATGCTGAAGCAGGAAATGGTGTCCCTGAGCTCTGTTCTCTGTGGGTGGGAGACAGGGGAGGGCTCACATGAGGTTTACCTGTCTTGTTCCCTCCCTCCAGGGCACCTAGTGCTGGCCACTATCAGGAGACAGGACACTGGGCTGGATGGACTGCTGGTCTGACCCAGTCTGGATGTTCTTATGTTCTTATAAAAATGAATAGGAAGGGCCGTGAGAGGGCGGGGGTCTGTGCAGTGCAAAATAGACACTAACTCCCTCTCCCAGCACACCCATAATGCACCATTAGAACATAAGAACATAAGAACGGTCGTACTGGGTCAGACCAAAGGTCCGTCTAGCCCAGTAGCCTGTCTGCCAACAGTGGCCAGCCCCAAGTGCCCCAGAGGGGGAGGACCGAAGACAATGACCAAGTGATTTGTCTCGTGCCATCCGTCTCCAGCCTCTGACAAACAGAGGCCAGGGACACCATTCCTACACCAGGTGATCAAGGAGATGAGGATGGTACCTGTGAATCATGAGGTGGAAGTATCTTCCCAGGGAGTCTCTGTCAGTTAGACATGCCCCGCATCTCTCTCACCGTCTGCAGCAGCGGACCATACTAAGAACCGACGCAGGGATTGCTCCATCTATAAGGCAGCTCTGGGCCATCCCATTGGGCATCGTTCAGCACCTAGAGGAAGTGACAGCTGGATGTAAATGGTCTGGAGACTGGGGACACTCAGGGCAGGGTCTCTGTCTCCATGTCTGTGTCTCTGGGCTCATTAGCCAGGTTTAGCTGTAAACAGTCATTACGGGACTTCCCAGCGGGAGATGGGAAGATTGAGAATATCAGCTGAGCCACAAGAGAATTAGCTGCTCTGTGTATTTGTGAACAAAATTATCAGGCTTCGTCTAGACTGCCATGATTTTCCGCAAATGCTTTTAACGGAAAAGTTTTTCTGTTAAAAGCATTTGCGGAAAAGAGAGTCTATATTGGCACGGGTGCTTTTCCGCAAAAGCACTTTTTGCGGAACAGCGTCCATGCCAATCTAGACATGGTTTTGCACAAGAAAGCCCCGATCGCCATTTTCGCCATCGGGGCTTTTTTGCGCAAAACACTTTTTAGCTGTCTACACTGGCCCTCTTGCGCAAAAACATTTCCGGAAAAGGGCTTTTGCCCGAATGGGAACATCAAAGCATTTGCGCAAGCACTGATTTTGGACAGTAGAACGTCAGTGCTTAGCAGGCGGCCAGTGTAGACAGTTGGCAAGTTTTTGCACAAAAGCAGCTGCTTTTCCGGAAAAACTTGCCAGTCTAGATGCAGCCTAATAGATTAATAAAAAAATCAAGGAACCTAGGATTGATACCTACAATAGAATAATAAAAGAAACAAGGAACCTAGGGTTGATGCCTACAGCTCCATACAGCTCTGTTAACAGGGAAATGCCCAGAAGGGCATGGCAGATCGTAGAGACAGATCTGCAGATAGACGGCTGAGGGGAGACGCAAACACTTTCCATAGACATGCGGGGCAGTTGCTAAGGGATCACAAATCAACAGTTCTTGCCTGTATTTATTATCCCACTGTGCAGCACCTTTCACTGAAGGAGCTTCAATACAGATGTCAAGGGAACAGCACTGTGAACACACCAAGATTACAAAGAAGTTGACTTGAGGCAAAGAGTGAGCGACTCACAGAAGAGCACACAGGGAAACCAACCCCAGGAGTCCTGACTCTCCTCTCTCTCGGTCATTGTATGTATGAGAGGAGAGAAATAGGTCCACAATCAGGCAGAGTGTAAACTGCAATATGATTACCACTGAGCCCTCTGGCCCATGCTTCCTAGCTGTCCAGGCAATATCGGTCTCACCTCTATTGGATGATCCTTAGTGTTTCCACAGACAGCCACTTCCTCAGCATGAGATGCACCCTGTCTGAAATAGATGGATGGTTTATTTCAAGTTCTGGAAAATCAGGCCCTGGATTAGGTCCTTTCCACCGTCCCACTCCCCATCCCCGAGGGGGAAGGGGTGCGATCGCTCCCCTCCTTCAAGGCTGTCCCACAGGTAACTCTCAGAGCCAGAGCCACAGGCTGGGGGCCTGGCTGCACAGGGGTGACGTCAGCCATTTTGCTCTGGGCAAGCTCTGCCAAGTGACCAGTGAGGAGACATTGCAGCGATTTTGGTACACCACATTTGCATCCCCATTTCAAGATAGGGAGCAAGTGTAGACGTACCCTCACTGGCTATGATCCCCAGGGCTTTTCACTGTCTGTTCTAACTGGGGTGATTCCCTCTGGCACAGGTCTTGGAAAAGGTTTGGGGTTATTTTCCACTCTCACATTTGGAGTAACCAGGCAAATGTGGGGCCCTCTACAGCACAGGATCTCTGGCCTGACTTCCCATGCATTAAGATACAGACCTGGGTAACAAGGGTCACAACACACTTTTTCCAGCTGGTGCCTATTAAAGTTTCCCAGGTCATGAACCATTATTGAGCACAGAGCTCCATCAAATATGGAATTCATATTAAAAAATCCAGGTGTTCATCAATCATTGATCCGAACAATGGAAATGATACATTTCAGTGTGGGTGGAGCCCAATCTGACCCAACCATCCCAGCAGATACCAGTCATACCTGTATTGTTTTATGTGAATTTTGCCTCCCCTTCAAGGACTTTTCCTACAACCACCATCCAAGAACAGGAGCAATAGGCAGTCAGGAATACATACGGTACATAGAGGAGGCATTGCTCTGCCTCACAGTTCAGCCTATTCTCTTCTACTCCATGTCAGATTCTAACATAACCAAGGTCATCAATCCTTCCACTTTCATCCTGCATTGCATTCCTGGCCTGGAGACAGCCCATGTCTGGATCTCCATCCCCTTCTACACCATGTACATTATAGCCCTCTTGGGGAACTTCACCATCCTGTGCAATGTGAAGATGGAGTTGAGCCTCCAGGGGTAACTGATGTGAAGGGGGTTTCTGGGACATGTTATGAGAAAGCGGAGGGTGCTCTGTGTGGACAGACAGAAAAGTCAGGGACTCTTTAGTTTAGGGAGCAGACAAGAAAAGGGGACATGGTAAAGGAGAGGATGATAAAAAGTTAACATGATTGCACTGAAATGACAAAAGAGGGAAAGTTCCCAACCAATAATATCGATAGGCATTAAGTGCCTCAAAGTGTTGAATTTCCCATTACTGATGAGAATTATCAACTGACGTGATTGGGAGGAAAAATTATAGAAAAAAGCACATGGGAATGATATCTGGGATTTCTTAAAAAGATTCCATGAGATGGCGAAAAGCCACATTACCACAGTCATTGCTGTTTAAAAACAGTTTGGGTAAAATCCTAGCTGCAGGAAAAACAAAAGGAAGAAACTGGGCGGAGCAATATATAATGAAGTTGGGAGAAGGAAAAAGGAACTAATACAAATCGGAAGATATGAACATGAATGAGAGATGATAAAACTATCACGGGCATATCCTTGACTAATAGAGCTAAGGATCAGAAAGGAGGTTAATTTTGCATGTTAAGAACAAAAGTAATCCTAGGACAGGTTTAGCCACTTCCTAGAGGGAGAAAGGAACCTCGTTAATGTCAGAGAAAAAGTTGATATGTCGAAGATATAGTTTTGTTCTGAGTTTGGAACATAGCAGAGCTTGTCCTCCGATCGCATGAGGAGTTGAAATACGTTCCAGTCTATTAGCATCCATGAAGAATGTGAAACAGCATGACCAGCTGAACATTAAAGATATGAAGGCCAGAGTTACACACTGACTGATCAATCCCACATCTCATTTTGAACTAGAAGTCAATAATCAGGCAGCAAATATAAAATATAACCCTTAAATATTTAACGGCAAATGAAAAGCACCTTTCTGTTTAATGTCAATTTTAAAAAAAGAGAGACATTTAACAAATATTTGATAAGGTGTCAACTTACAGGGGCAAGGACAAACAGGATATGGATTCACTTCACAACAGAGTTGATTAATCTCGCTACGTCACAACTATTAAAGAGTGAATATACAGATACTGCAATGTGACACATCAATAAGCACAGGCAGAGCAATGAATTATAGAGCAATAGGAACTTAGAAATGCTTACGCCCCTTCAGTCTGTGGGGAGTCCTGTTCCTGTCACCTTGCATCAGGCAGCATGGATGTGGCTCCAGCTGAGAAAATCCAGGGCACTCTCCAAACTTGAGGTACCTAAAAGGAGGTGGGATAGCTCAGTGGTTTGAGCATTGACCTACTAAACCCAAGTTTGTGAGTTTAATCCTTGTGGAGGGGATTTGGAGCAAAAATCTGTCAGAGATGGTACTTGGTCCTGCTGTGAAAGCAGGGGACTAGACTTGATGACCTTTCAAGGTCCCTTCCAATTCTAGGAGATAGGCAATCTCTGTTATTATTCTAGTCTAAGAAACTCACCAGGCATGGTACTCCCTACGCTAGTTATACTACAGTTGTTTATCAGGTGTGCGCGTGCTGGCTCAATCCCATTCTCAATTTTCCCACCGGTTGAGAACCGAAGTCATGTTATTTATCACTTAGTAGTTTCCCAGCTCAAGTGCATGGCTTAAAGCTGATAAAGCCCAGATGCATTTTGCTTTTGCAGGATACCTGTTTTCAGGGTATGTACTTCAAGGATAGAAACCTTCATACTGCATCTGCTAAGCTACAGAACCCACATATGACTTTTTATGTAACACAAGGCAAGAAAACAAAGGAGAAGCTGATCTGTGAATGGTTAAACATTTTGGAATCTAATTAATGTCAATCCACAGCATAGTGCATACATAACGAATAACCTCAAATAAACCTGATCTGATGCTTGACTCAAAGTACACATTTGGCTTATCAAGAGACCCATACAGGTGGAATAGATTTGGTTTCTCTTATTTGATTTAGTCTGAAACACACTGAGATATATGAATTACACATTATCAGTGAAGAACTTGTTAAATGGGTTAAAAATTGGCCAATTGACAGATCTGAAAAGAAGAGAAAAAACATTGTCCAAGGGCCATTGACTGTGACCAGGACTTTCGCTAGAGGAATACTGTGGGATCATTATCAGGCCTAATATTATATTATTATTCAATATTTTCATCATTTCTGGAAGCAAATATGACATCCCTGCCAAGAAACAATTGGCAGAGGTGTTAGAAGGAGGAGGCTCAGGCAGACATATGTATTAGTCCAGGGCATTTTTTGTTCTTGGCCCATATAAAGAAAATGTGTTTGTATAGTCAGAGGCAAAGACTCCCTGTTGGAGGGGAGCAATCACACAACTGGCCTCTCGAGGATGGAGAGTGGGATGGTGGAAGGACCCCAACTCAGGATCTGATTTTCCAAGACTTTTTTTTTAATGAGCATTTGAAATAAACCGCCCGTCTCTTTAAGACAGGGTGCATCTCTGTTGAGGAAGTGGCTGTCTCTGGAAACACTAAGGACCATCTGACAGAAGGGAGGACGATATTGCCTGGGCAAGTAGGCAGCACTGACCAGAGGGCTCAGAGGTAACCATATTGCAGTTTGCACTCTTCCCGATTGTGAACCTATTTCTCCCCTCTCGTACATACAATTCCTGAGAGAGAGGAGAGTCAGGACTCCCCGGGTGGGTTTCTCACTCCCTGTGTGCTCTTCTGTGAGTCGCTTACTCCTTGCCTCAGGTCAACTTCCTTATAATCTCAGGAAACTCATGGTGCCTTTCCCTTGGCAGATGGATTGAAGATCCTTCAGTGACAGGTGCTACACAGTGGTATGATAAACCCAGATGAGAACTATAGATTTTCAAACCCTTAGCAACAGCCCCTCGTGCCTTTCGAAGGTGTTTGTCTCCCCTCAGCCGTCAGTCTGTAGGTTTGTCTCTATTGGCTGCCCAGCCCTCCTGGGCATTTCCCTGTCAGCAGATCTCCTATGGAGCTGTAGGCATCAACCCTCGGTTCCTTGTTTCTTTTACTAATCGATTATAGTTTTCGACACAAATACACAAAGCGGCCAATTCCCTTGTGGTTCAGCACTCAGCACTGGGAAGTCTCATAATGACTGTTTACTGCTAAACCTGGCTAATGAGCCCAGAGGCACAGACAGGGACCCCGTCCTGAGTGTCCCCAGTCTCCAGCCTGTTTACACTTCCCCTTGGTGCTGAGCGATACCCAATGGGATGGCCCAGAGATGCTTTATAGATGGAGCAATTCCTGCTTTGGCTCTTAGCATGGGCCGTAACTGCAGGTGGTGCAGTGAGAGAGTTTCGGGACGTGGCTGCATGAGAGAGATTCCCAGGGAAGACACTTCCACCTCAAGAGTCACAGGTAACATCCTCTCCTCCTCCATCCCCAATGCATTATGGGTGTGCTTGGTGTGCTGGGTGTGCTGGGAGAGGGATTTGTCTGTGGTCTTTTTTGCATTGCACAGACCCTAATCCTCTAAGGGCCCTTCCCATTCTTTTTTATAAGAACACAAGAACGGCCAGACTGGGTCGGACCAATGGTCCATCCAGCCCAGTGTCCTGTCTGCCCACAGTGGCCGATGCCACATGCCCCAGAGGCAGGGAACACAACAGGGAATCCTCACCTGATTCCTCCCACCTGCAGAGAACAGAGGCCAGGGACACCATTTCTTGCTTCTGCATCCTTGCTGACAACGTCACCTGTGGGGTAGGTGCATTTTGATGGCCCAGGGGATCTGTCAGGAGGAAGGGTGTTAGTAGCTGTATGATACAAAGCAAAACTCTGAAGCTGTGTCCCATGGATTGTTCAGACTATACAAATGGAAAACTCTCCTTCGAGGAAGAATTGAACAAAGACCTCATTTGGCTCTCTTTCAAATCCAGGAAGTAATGGACGTCCTCACTGTTACAGATTGAAGGATTTTCCAATGTAGGCCACAAACATTCTCTCCTGTCGCATTAGAGGAGCAGGCTGAACTGTCATGTCTGAAACTTTCTAATAACTATCCACACCGCAGTAGGCCTCCTTTGGGGGATATTTCGATCCAGATGCTTAACAACGGTCAAACTGATTAACAACTAAAATGAGACCTTCTAATTGGCAGTGCCAGAGAGTCTGCATTCAATGGCATGCTCCCAGGAGCTGCAGTGGTCAGTTGGTTGCTTGCAAACAGAATGATTGCAAACAGGAGGGAGTTTTGAGAGGGGTGCTGTCCTGGTGAAAGAGGGTAATTTACAGGAGGTAGGGATAAGTGGCTCTCTGAAGTGTGTGTGCGTGTGTATTTGGGGGTTCTGGGCTTGTGTTTGTTCTATGTAGATCCATGTGTTGCCCTGTTGGATGGTTTGAAAGGCCGTGTGCTCAGGCTGGTAGTTGGAAGCTGTGAACCTTAATTAGGATTTGAAATCTAAAACTTTCTGCTCATTGGTCGAGCCAGAGCCAAAGGGAGGGGCTATCAGGAAGACTGGGAATCTTGGAAACAGGGTGATTGTAAACAGGGGGGAGTTTTGAGAGGAGAGTGTAGAAGGGGCACTTCGAGGGACCTGGCTACTTTAGACATTCTTTCAAACTTGATAATAAATAATATCCCAAATTTTAAATAAAATCCGCATGTACAACCTTATTGTTCATCGGCGAGAATGCAAAATAAAATCCGCATGTACAACCTTATTGTTCATCGGCGAGAATGCAGGCAGAAGCCAACCAGCAGGGTGAGGGCTATACTATTTATTGCATCCAGCACCACATGTGTGATTATCTGCCCCATGGAACTACTTTCCAGAGGAGGTTGTGGAGGCTAGCACTATAGCAGAGTTTTAAAAAGAGCTGGATAAATTCAAGGAGGTTAGGGCTATTAATGGCTATTAGCCAAGATGGGTAAGGAATGGTATCCCTAACCTCTGTTTGGCAAAGGGTGGAGATGAATGGCAGGAGACAGATCGCTTGATCATTGCCTGTGTGATTCACCCCTTTTGGGGCACCTGACATTGGCCACTGTCGGCAGACAGGATACTGGGCTAGATGGACCTTTGGTCTGACTCACTATGGCCGTGCTTATGTTCTTATGAATGGGCCTGGCTCAAGAAATGCCCCAGACCAATCATTATTGCTGCCTGGCCTCCTCCTTTCAACCCTTCTGCCAGTCATTTCTGTGCAGAAATTTCATATTTGTTTCCAGGACTGACTACAATATTGAATAATATCAGGCCTCATTATGGTCCCACAAAACTCCCCTCTCAATGACCCTCGGATAATGATTATTTTCAGATCTGCCAATTAGCCGGTGTTTAGCCCATGTAATGTGTGCCCCACTGATAATATATCATTTAGATAGTTGTATCTGACTCTCTTTCCTACTAAATCAAATTAAAGACATTAAAGTCTGTTGCATCTTCCTGTTTCCTTTGATCAGCCAAATTTGTCCTTTCTTCAAGGATGAAATCAGGATTATATGACATTATGGTTTTCCATATGGTATGATGCTGATTGACCTTATTTCACACATCAGCTTTTCCATTATTTTCTTGCCTTTTCAAATATTTTCTATTTTTTCCCCCAACATTTTCATTAAAAGAAAACTGCCTTTCATTTGGCATTATTTCTTTCACGTATATATTTGTAGTTCATTTGTGGCAGGATTACTGACTTCTGGATGAAAATGAGATGTCTCATTGATTGGCTCATGTTTAACTCTTATGTTATTAACTTTAATGTTCAACTGCTAATGTTGTGTTACATCCTTCTTGGATGCTAATAGAGTATAAATCATGGAAGGGATCCTAAAGGAATCCATTTTGGGGAGCTTGGGAGAGAAGAAAGTGATCAGGACTAGTCAGCATGGGTTCACAAAGGGCAAGTCATGCCTGACCAATCTGATTAACTTCTATGATGGGGTAACTGGTTCTGTGGAAATGGGGAAGTCAGTGGATGTGATATACCTTGACTTTAGCAAGGCTTTTGATACGGTCTCCCACAATATTATGGCTGGAAAGTTGGACCCAGCGGGTAATGATCAACAGCTCGATGTCAGGATGGCAGTCTGTTTCTAGTGGAGTCCCCCAAGGTTCGGTTCTAGGACTAGTTTTGTTCAATATCTTTATTAATGACATGGATGAGGGGATGGATTGTACCCTCAGCAACTTTGCAGATGACACTAAGCTAGGGGGAGAGGTAGATCCTGTTGAGGGCAGAGATAGGGTCCAGAGTGACTTAGACAAATTGGAGGATTGGGCCACAAGAAATCTGATGAGGTTCAACAAGGACAAGTGTGGAGTTCTGAACTTGGGATGGAAGAATCTCAAGAAATGTAACAGGTTGGGGACCAACAAGCTAAGTAATAATTCTGCAGAAAAGGACCTGGGGGTTACAGTGGATGACAAGCTTGATATGAGTCAACAGTGTGCCCTTGTAGCCAACTTGGCTGATGGCATATTAGGGTGAATTAGGAGGAGCCTTGGCAGCAGATCCAGAGATGCAATTATTCTCCTTTATTCGGCTCAGGTGATGCCACATCTGGAGTATTGTGTCAGATCTGGGCCCTCCACTACAAAAAGGCCGTGGACACACTGGAGAGGGTCCAGTGGAGGGTGACCAAAATGATTAGGGGGCTCCAGCATATGACCTACGAGGAGAGGCTGAGGGATTTGGATCTGTTTAGTCTGCAGAAGTGAAGAGTGAGGGGGGATTTGATAGCAGACTTCAACTTCCGGAGGGGAGTTTCCAAAGGGGCTGTAGAAAGCCTATTCTCAGTAGTGATGAATGGCAGAACAAGGAACAATGGTCTCAAGTTGTGGTGGGAGAGGTCCAGGTTGGATATTAGGAAAAACTATTTCACTAGGGCTGTGTCCAGACTCAGGGGTTTTTTCGGGAAAAGTAGCCTTTTTCCGAAAAAACTTCCCCTGCGTCCAGACTCAAGCCGCATTCTTTCGAAATTAAATCGAGAGAACGCGGCTTTTCTTTCGATGGCGGTAAACCTCATTTCATGAGGAAGAACGCCTTCTTTCGAAAGTTCCTCTTTCGAAAGAAGGCGTTCTTCAATGTAAATAGGGCTTCTTCGAAAGAGAGCATCCAGACTCACTGGATGCTTTCTTTCGAAAAAGCAAACCGCTTTTTCGAAAGTTCAACGTGCAGTCTAGACGCTCTCTTTCGAAAGAGGCTCTTTCGAAAG